AGGAAGCAAAGTCAAGAAGCATTTTACTGGATAAAAGATCAAACAGTAAAAAGACAGAAAAAGCAAGGCGCAACAAGGAAGAGGTGTGGACTGCTGCCTTTTTATGGGATCCGAGGTTTAAAAACTGTTCCTATTCACAACCTTTTTTTTTTTCCCTCCCAGTCTCACCTTCCAGTCATTCTGTGATATCAGCCAATATGTTTACAAGCACTCAACAGCAGTAGATGGGTTTACAGTTACACAAAGCTATGTCCTCAGCTCTACGTGGCCAACTCACCAGGGGAGCTGGTGCACATCTCTCATGGCGAAGGAGCCAAGTCTTGCCTGACTTGTTGGCACTGCAGAAGAACTGGCAGCCTGCTCGTTGTTGGAGGGCAGACTGGAAATAAATTCATTTTCCTGCAAACTTATTTCCATAATACATGCATATATATTAAAACAAAAGACTAACCAAGCAGTTTTGCCAGAAATGCTTATGTTTTATTTGCAAGTGTCAAGAGGGGTGTTGCAATGTGAGTCGTTTTATTCATGCCAGATCTGGCAAGAGAACGGCTCGTGTCCTCCTTCCCCGCAAGTCTCTCTACTCCGTGCTGTGGTGCAAACCCCTACCGAGACGGAGGGGACGGAGGAAAAGCTGCGGAGACACTTCCCTGACTGCACTGCCGAGAGCTGAGGTCTGACACACGTGGTGAGGGCACCCCGGCCGGTGGATGGTGCAGCAGCAGCCGCTGCCTGAGCTCCTCCGCAGAGGCTGGAGAAGCCCCTGAGTGAAAGGGAAAAATGGGGATTGGGCCAGCTCAGTTCCCAGCAAGAGGATTAACGTTACCTTTAAAATCAGGCAAGTGATTCACAGTCACCGCTCCTAAAAAGCTATTAACGTTCTCATGCAATTAATATTTTCCTCGCAAGGAAGTGGAAAGCAAGGCATTTACCTTTAGATGGCTCGAGTTTCCCGGCATGTTTATCCCTGTCTAAATAACATGATGCCAACCACAGCTTTGAACACGACCCTGGTGTGATGGCAAGACTTTGAGCTTTACCTTTTAAAAATATCCTCCTCTGACATAGCCAAAATTACGACCAGGAGCTGGAAAAGGACAGGCAGAGCAGATTGGGGTGATGCTCCTGGTCAGCTATTTCCTCCACTTATCTCTGAAGGCAGAACCACCCTGCTTCCACCTCTGAAATCTGAGTAAGGCAGGCTGTTTGGAAGAGAAATGACAAACTCAAGAGCACAATCTCAATTTTAAGCTCCTTGTTTTCTTTCAGGAGAAACTACTGCAAACCCTAAAAAGCATCTGACCCTCCCTACCACGACTGGTAGACTTGTATGGCAACGGACTCCTTTTGTGACCAAAGGGAGGGACTGAGATGGGAGAAATCTCAACAGCAGTCAACCAGGGTCTGGGAGGAAGGGAATTTTGCCCTGGTTTTGGTGTTTTTCTCCTCCTAGGTGAGGAGAACTTCTGGTAACTCCAAAGCCAGTCGGACGCAGTTTTCCCGGCACATTTTTCAATGACAAAAATCACACCTGACACCGTTTTTCTAAACTGCCTCATTTCTAAGGATTTTGTTTCTCCATTACCTAGAAATCACGGACTACTTCAAACTACTCCCTAAGAATACAACAAAATAACACTCTTCTCTAGCAAGGCAAAAGCGAATGGAGCTCCTCCTAAGCAGTCTGCAGTTACTTAATTCTAAAATTAATGATTTACTCATCTTTGACAATAAGAGCTAAAAGCAACCCTTGCCCCCAAGAATTTACTGCATGAAAACCAGGCAGAAAAGTACAAGCTTGAATAATCCAGAGGAGGGAAAGCAACTGTTCACCTTTCATTTCTGTCATCATGAACACGCAACGTCTGAGTTTTGGGGTAAATGACATTTTGAGAGGGAACGGAGTGGGTGAGAGGGGCGACGTGCTTCCCACTGGCATTCTGGAGCTTGCGCCAACCACTGCCGGAGCCTGTCAGAGTGTTACTAATCTGCTTTCCTATGACACTTTCTCCCCTACTTCGATTCCGACTCCAGCCTTTATGCAACTCTGAAAAACGCACTTGTCCAAGAAATACTTTTCCAACCAGACTAACTTATCAGTCAGTCTTTCCACCGCTTCCTTGTCTCTTTCTTCTTCAGCCAGCTCAACAAAATCTGTTTCCAGTAAGCCATTAGCATTTGATTTTATTCTTATTCCACAGCTACTGATACAGGAACATGCTGCCTTTCCCTCCCTTCCTCTTGCACTGAAGGACATGCCACTTTTTTTTCCTCCCCTTCTTTTTTTTTTAAGATTAGACTTTGGAGAGCCTTTAGCTCATCCATGTGAAGGGTTTTCCTAAGCTGTCCCTAAGCGCTGTTGGAGAATGTGGCATCAGACATTTAAATCAGGCAGCTAAATTATTTTAACCAACTATTTTTACTATTGTCTACCACGACATCCAGCGTATCTGCTCTGTTTTAACAGAGCCCAGCATCTTCAAAGCCTCTAATGAACAACAAATTCTCACGATCTCTCAAAGGCAAGTCAGATGTGTGTGATCGAGTTGCTGAATGAGGCGATCGCACACAGAACAAAGAGCTCAACGCTGTTATTTTAATGGATTTTCCATTCTGTTGCCAGGTCAGTAATCCTTTTTCTCTCAGTGTCACTCAGAGACTTCAAAACCCACAGCTGGGGTGGACTAGTCAGTGTTTGTTTTATCCAGGGGGACATACGGCATGGCTCTTTCTAAGCAAATCAATTTATCTGCTGCTGACAGCGAGTATTCATCAGCGGCGATGCTGAGCTGTACTACTCCGGAGGTTACTAAGAGTGCACTAGGCACACGACTTCCAGCTATCAATTTGACAAGCATCCTAAACCATTTTATTTGCCTTTATTTCCCTTCCTGAGGCTTGATAATCCATCAAACTTACTGTTTGCAGCGCTTCTGGAAAAGGCTCTGATGCAATCAAACCAGAATGGTTGATTATGAGAAAGAATCATCAGCAGGAGCACGGAGTTCAAGAATAAAAACAAACAACCCACACTGAAAACTCCTATACTTGCAGAAAATTTTCCCTTTGTGGTAGGAAATGAAGCTGTGGATCGGAATTTAAGCGCGTGCTTTATTTCATCGTTTCATGCAGGCACACGCTGCAGCACTACGTGGAAGACAACCACTCTTCCAAACTGAGAAAACCAAGTGACACCGCGGTACGAATTCCCTCTGCACCGGGTATCGGAGGACCACTAGCAGCACGGATCGCTTTGCTTTTAATAGGCAGGGAAACGGAGGCAGGCAGAGGAGAGGCTGGTCTCCAAGGATCCCGAGAAGGCCAATGGCAAAGCTGGGAAGAGACCCAAGGTCTCCGAATGCTGAATCAAGCCGTGCCGCTGCCGCTCTGACTCATCCCAGGAACTGTTTGCTAAACACTACGAAGCTCTTCAGAAGTTCCATGTGCTGTGTCAGCTATTTGCCGAGAAGAAACAGTTCCAAGTACTCTAAGGTCAACTCATCAGCCTTGGCACGGAGCTTTTCGTGAAGGCCTAATGTCTGGAAGCCGGTGACAGCTATTTCTGGAATCTGCCCGCATTTACAGTAGTCGAGATTTACTGGGAGATTAGCAAACATCCTCAGCGTCTGTAATCCCGCTGCTAGCACAAGAGCTAGTGCAGCTTTCCCAACTCGTTTGTTATGTTCTGACAGCAAAAGACAGGATTTGTTTTGCAAAAAGAACATTTTGGCGAGGGGATGAGCAGGGCTTTAAAATCCTTCCCTAGGAGTCTGCGCCAAGGTAAACCAACCTATTTTTACTTTATTTTTGGCTATAAAGACTGTTTCTCGCTCTTTTCTCCAGCGATCAGAGATGCAAAAAAGCTTCAGTGCCTGGTCTCTGCAGTGGATGCGACACGCGGTTCGGGAGAGTCATATCCCTCTCCAGGAGGAAACCAAAGCTAGAACTGAGTCCATCTACCAATTACGGATCCAGCAGGATCACTTAAGCACTCAGGGGAAGAAAGTCAAGACAGATGAGGTATTTTAAGGAGAGACAGCACACTTTACTGGCTTTTCTGCTAGCCTGTAACTAGTTAGATTGGCGAAGAATACGATGACTAACGTGTCCTGAACAAAACCAGACCTGGCCATTGCATTCCTTTCAAGAACTCCACGTGGAAGAGGAGAAGTCTTAATATTTATTTACACAGATATCGCATGCTCTCTGCCTTGCCATGTGGGTGTAGCAGAAATGCAGATAGGATGGGACAGTATGTGGCACAAACAAACATCCTGGTAAGAATACAGAACAAAGACTTTTTTGTCATTTTCCTCTCCGAAGCAGGAGTAGGCAACAGGGAAGCACGAACCGCTCGCACCCTCTCAAAAGGTGTAGGAGGAGCGAACTCCTCGGATTTCCAAGCAGCATCATGGCACCTTCCCACCACCACAGAAGTAGGGCTAAATCTCAGTAATACAATAAAATCCAAGCTGCAAATCTCACCTACAGTGAGTGATAGTGTCACACAGAATCCGCTCTTGCCGTAACAGCCAACAATGTGTGGATCGCTCCAAAGGCTACGATCTGTTCTGCAGCCTTTTCCAAAAAATGCCCGAGCTCACACAGCGCTAATGCTCGCGATCTGCACCTTTCCCCACCGTACCATACCTGCTCTTTTCACAACGAAACATCAGCTGAACACTTGGCAGTTTTGTGTTCGCTGTTGAAGAAAAATCACAATTATTCTGCTAACTACATCCTACCATTTGTAAGGATGAAGTATGACGGCTGGGAAAGATAAACTCTCAGAGCAGAAGGAGAGTGTTTTTGATGCCTTCAATGTTAATTTTGCAGAAATAAATAAATAAAATCTGTTCCAGAAGTTTTTTCTCTAGACTCTCCCAGTAAGCATTCAAACGCACGCGTTTTCCAGCACGCCAGCGACAAGAGACCTTTCACACAAAACCGTCACGTTCCCAAAGGGCCAAAAACCCACCCCAAGAGCACAGTGCCCGCACCTGTGAGGCGAGTCTCCGCATGGCCTCCTCCTGGCGCCGGCGCATCTCGGGGGTCCCCGGGCAGCTCCCGCTGGTGATGGAGGAGTGAGCGGACGGCGGCTGTGTCAGGGGCAGCTCCCGGTTTGCATCCGCATCTGTCGTGGGGAAAAAGGTTCGGAATTACCACGGGAAAAGCACGAAGGGTGCCGTTACGACAGACTAGGCAGGTGCTATTTCCTAGCAGGGCGTGCACGGCAGTTAAAATATTCTCCATAAATATTCTAGTTTGGATTTCAGGCAGGAAGAGGCTGCGACGTCATCCGGAGGCTCCCCAAGAAACTTCTTTGGGAAGCAGCACTTCTGAGGAGTACCACTAAGATAAAGCACTGAACTAGTCTTAATACATCTTCTCCACTGTAATTTCATCGACTTTAAAAATAATCACAACGGAGTGAACCGTGCATCCTGGAAGGTGCGCTCTGTCTGCAAGTTTGGTACGGGTCAGCTCAGTGCCCTCCTGCTCTGCTGTTCTGCCAACAGATCTTCCCTCGTTATGAACAACCGCCGGTTAATTCGATTCCGAGTCTTTCTTCAGTGGAGACAACCAATTTTTCTGAATTATGTGCCTATTTTATACCATAAATAAATGGAGAGCCACAGCTAACCTATCCATCTGAAGCCCATTAATGTAATCAGAGGGAGAGAAGCAGGAGTAGCACCAGGATCTGGAAGAGGCTTGCAAGCAAATAATGAATTATACTGTACTGGAACCATCTCTGTCAAGTTTAACTGCTTTCTACTGTGCTTTAGCTGTTTCTTTGGCCTGGCAAAGCAGAAATTGGCTTTGCAGGTGGACTGCAACAACTGTCCATTCACCTGGTTATCATTTCCAAACCACTGATTTTCACTCACAGGTCCTCACACGAAGTATTTCTGAGCGACACTAAGCCACGCAGTATTTGATGATGTCTAATTACCAATTTCTTCATTTCAGGAACACTTTAAAGGCAGCAGTTTTCAAGCGCAGTCTGTATTAGCAGAGGATTTTCCTGAATGGGTTGCTGCAATGCATCCTTGAGCTTGACTTGAAATCATAATGCAAACAATGACCCATTTAATGGCAAACAACAACGGAGGATGACTACTGCCTACACAATTAAGCCCTGAGTCGATTAGCAGTGATGCACACTCTTCATTTTGAGCACGCAACACCACCTTCACCTGCATTATTTTTCCAAGATGTGGAGTATGAGGCTGTACTCATGGCATTTCCTAACTCTGATGGCGTAACGGCTGTGGCACAGTCAGGTCACCCGACTAGCTTTTAATATTAAACACAGATTTTACTAAGCATGTAAAAGCACAGATTTTACTAAGCATTACTTTGGCGTGCGAAGAAAAATAATCAAAGGAACTTGCGGAATAATTATTATCTTCTGTAACTAGGCTAGGACTTGTGATCTCCTTAGGAAACAAAGTCGAATGGGTTGGTTGATTTGGAAAGTCTCCACCCCAGTAACTAATAGCGAGGGATTACTCAGCTTTCAACTTCACGCACAAACCAGAGCGTGAACTGAACAACGGCACGTTGGGTGTGACCGAGGATTCTCATCCTTTGGGCATGGAAGAGGCAGGGCACCTTCTCAAGTGAAACATCCACTTTTTCAGTCCAGAAACAGTTAAGTACAGTAGTGCCTTTAATCTCTGCAATCCCTCTAAGCAGACTGGGGAGACGTACAGCTGGTGCACTGCAGAGCTATGGTTAAAATACAGAAACAAGCCCTGCCTTTCACTATGCATTGTTCCTTTAGCTCTGACAAGTGACACTATTCAACCTGCCAGCATTCAGTGATATTTCAGATATTTCACCACGGCTAAGAGTACTGCAATCCAGTAAACAGATTTAACTACAGCTGCACTGAGATACAGTGACCTAGATCCTTACAGATACCTTTCGGTACCTAACCTGGTTATTTTTAGTCCTGTCTTATTCACTTACTGAGAGTTGAATAATGTTTAAACGTTGTCATCCTCACCTGCAAACACACCAGCAGGGAGTGATGTGAATGGGATGAGAGCAGAAGGGCTAGAGCAATCCTGGGTGCTGAGCCTACGAGGGTTTGTGACCCACTCTGAACATTTACACCATGACAGACGGAGATAAACCAACCATGTGGGAAGGAGAACGCACCGGCATGGATTTGCAATAATCACAGAATCACAGAATCATCCAGGTTGGAAAAGACCCTTGGGATCATCGTCTCCAACCATTAACCCTACTCGCAAGTTCACCCCTAGACCACATCAATCAAACACCACATCCAAGCGATGCTTAAACACATCCAGGGATGGCGACTCAACCCCCTCCCTGGGCAGCCACAACTCTTTCCGTGAAGAACTTCTTCCTAGTGTCTAGTCTAAACCTACCTTGTTTAAGCTTGAAGCCATTCCCTCTAGTTCGGTCACTAACTACCCGAGTAAAGAGACCAGCACCAGCCTCTCTACAATGTCCTTTCAGGTAGTTGTAGAGAGTGATGAGGTCTCCCCTCAGCCTCCTCTTCCTCAAACTAAACAGACCCAACTCCTTCAAACCGTCCTCATGCGATCCAGCCCCTTGAGCAGCTTCGTTGCCCTCCTCTGCACCAGCTCCAGTACCTCAATGTCTCTCTTGTACTGAGGTGCCCAGAACTGGACACAGCACTCGAGTTGAGGCCTCACCAGTGCTGTGTACAGGGGGACAATAACCTCCCTACTCCTGCTGGTCACACTCTTTTTAATACAGGCCAGGATGCCGTTGGCCTTTTTTGCCACCTGAGCACCCGGCTGGCTCATGTTCATTCGCTTGTCTATCAGAGCCCCCAGATCCCTCTCCTCAAGACAGCAAATAATAGTGACAATTAAACCTGGCAATTAAAAATGGCCTTCCCAATTAGAAAATCTGTGATGTTTCTGAGTCAGAGAAATAAGAGACAAACTATCCTGGCTCTTCAAAAACTAGATTTGGAATGGGAGCAGCAAAAATACTGCTGTCAGGTGCCTCCTTTGCTTGGCAACAGAACTGAAGCTGATCTCTTGGGCTTGCAGAGGAACGGCACCTTTTCAGCCAAACACCATTATAAAAGCTGATGGAAAAGGTCTCTGACTTTTTGACAACCCGCGTCCTGCCGCACTTACGTTTCGGAGAGGCATGCGGGCTGTCAGAAGCAATCTGTCTCATCCGTGTGCCGTGGCAGCTGAGCGCAACCAGCCTGGAGATGATGGCGGTTTTTCCAAAGCCGATGTTCCCAACGATGACGACGCCTCGGTTGACGCTGGCGTTGGAACTCTGCAGCTGCGCGTCGATCTCGTGGAACACCCAGTCCCGGCCGACAAAGACAGACTCGGTGGTGATGCTGGGCACCTCGAAGAGCAGCGGCTTCAGGGAGATGTCGGGAGGTCGATACGGTGCAAAGCGTACTAGGGAGAAGAAACGCGAGGAAAGAACATAAGCAGCAATGCTAACAGTAAAATGATAGTTTGGAAACGGCTGCTTAAACTCCCTTTCAAATCTATTCATCGCAAAAGGTGGAAAAAACCACAAGCTTGTTTACTACCCACGGGTTTGTTGTTAAAAGTATCGGGCTCATTCATAGCGTTTTCCACCGAAGGAGTTCAGAGAAATTTTACAGGAAGAAGTAGTTCAGAGCTTGGCCGTAGCTGGAGAAATGAAATTTCTTGCTTCAAGCCACCATAATTAAAGGTCCTGCCACAGGCAGAAGGGTACGCTTCCCCCAGCAGCCACCCGGGGACACAGCCTTGTGTGTCTGCCCGATGTATAGATATGTAATGCCTGGTCCATCCACAAACAACCTTAACACTTACAAGTTATAAATCCACCCAAGTCAAATTATTTCAACTCTTCTGCAGCATGTACATGAAACCAGACTGTTGATGGGATTTTCCCGTATTGCAGTGAAAACGTTTTCTCTTTTCCCAAGGCAAAGCAGTGCTGCAAGCAACGCAAAGTTAACCAGGAGCGCAAGAAATTCCCCCCCAGCAGATCACATCTGCCAGTGTAATGTCAACGCCCAAACCCATGGATACAGACTGTGGTACTTTTTCCCATTTTTTAAAATGCATTATGCTACAATCAACTGTACACCTAAACCCAAAGCATCCTTGCAACGTTTTCAGGATCACTTGGGGGTGGAGGGAGAGGGTTTTTGCCCTTCTTTCCATTCGGTACAAGCTCTCCGGGACACGCACACCTCAACTGAGGAACAACTCTGCCCAGAAAGAAGATCAATCACATGCTGCATTCGGCCTATGAGAGCTGTAACTGGGAGATGATATGCATAAATTCATTAAAAAAAAAAAAAAAGTGATGGAAGCACTTTGCACCAGCAGAAACAGTTGCTGGATCTTCCTACTTTACAAAAAAAAAAGTTTCTTACCTAAAATCTTTCAGAAGGTGGCCACAAAGAGAGCAGTGATTTTCATTCAGGGGGAGCTTTGTCTCACGGCACTTTTCATCTGCAAATTTTGATTTTTAGAGCATAAATCCTTCAAGACGGGGCTAAGTGACACGGGTGGAGGGAGCTACCTCCGTGGGACACATTTTCAGACCTGGACCTGGGATGGCAGCTCTGCACACACCCTCCAGCTGCAGTACATGTCTCATACTTGATGCTCAACACACGTTATACAAGCAGAGGTGATAAGCTGTGGAAAATTTGAGCTGTGGATCACAGAAGATGAATTCAATCTGTTTTGAGATCATACGGCCCGTCGCAAATGAAAACAACCATACAAAATCTAGAAGTCTCGATATTTTAAAAGAAATCCCGGGAGGCCACAGAAGAGCTCCCCAAGCAGGGCTGCAGAAGGATTTAAGTTAAAAAATCCAGGGGTTTGCTCTGTGTTATCTCTTGGCACAATCCACTCCCATCATTTACATGAGCTGCTTCCAGTGGAGACTGTTTGGTTTATTTGAAGTTTTAAAAGCTCTCAGATACCTAAAAAGCACAAACATCACTCAGCAACTGCTGACTCTGATTCCTCCACCCGCGGGCCCTCGGTGGGGGACGTGGGGGCGTGGTGACCCCCGCAGACCTCTTGGCCTGACTGCTCTCAGGGGTGCAGAGAATGCTGCTGCATCACACTTTGCACTAAACATGCTGAGAAGTTTATCGAATTGCGACAGAGGGACGATTTATCCCCATGAGAAGAGGTTACAGATGTGCTACCACCCATAAACACCAACACCAGAAACACCAACACGTGGGGTTTGAGCAGAGCAGTCCCAAGATCTGCGCTTCGGGCTGTGACCTGAGTCCCTCTGGAAGCTCCAAAGCACCCAGTGCTTGCTGCCCCCAGCTCCCCGCTCCGAACCAGCCCAGCAGCAGATGAGCTGGTCCCTCGACCCCAAGACTCTGTCACCCCGTCCCCACGTCCCAACTCCATCGCTGCACAGGACCTGCCCTGGGGACCGCTGAACCAGTGCCCACCCTGAAACCCCTCTCAGGTCTAACCAGGAGCTGATCTGTTAAACCAGAGTTGGGACTTAATGTTACATCAGATGTGCCTAAGGAAAACAGTTTGGATTTAAAAATGCTAGGTATTTCATATTTCTTGTGTGTTTTTTTTTTAAACTGATACAGAAAACGCAGCAGACAGGAGCTGTATTTTTACTCCCGCTTGAAAATGATGAATGTGCTTTAAATCTGTCCTCAGGGTGGAGATGGCTTTTGCATTGCATGAGCTCACAAGCAGCTCGTCTGACTCCCCTTGCCGGCTCTGTCACGCGAGCACAGCGGGATCTGCTGCTGCAGGAAGACGCTGGAGAAGCAAAATCACCGGTGGTGGGAGAGCAGGGATGCCCCACGGTCCCACCACAGCACCCAGCTGCGGCAGCACCAGCCTGGCCCTGGGTGCAAGCAGGGCTGACGGGCACAGAAGGCAGAGTGCCGGGGCATCAGCACAGGGACCTGGCCGTGGGGACCAGATGCAGCAGTCCTGCTGAGGCAGAGTACAGTTCCAGCAGCGCATCGTGATGAGGGAGACCTTTTTGTTTGTGTTATGGCACCAATACTGCATTAGAGAAAATTAAAACCACAAAAAATACAAACTCCATTTGGAAAACATCACACTAAGATTTGTGCATGATAAGGCACAGCTTTACTTGACTTGTACAGGCTATGTCATGTTCGTGAGTGAAGAGACACACTCGTCTGAAAGCCAGCAGCCTAACAGGTACCAAATGGTCTCAGGGGCTAATGGAGGGACAAGACTGATGAAATATAAAAGTTCCTGCTTTACATTTTTTTCAGAGAGCTCTGAGGCTGTGTGACGCCTACGTCTTCCACCACGACACCCCAACCAGACAAAGGATATCCTGAACATTAGTCTTTATCCAAGCGGACAAGAATCGACACATCGTGCTTGTCAGCTGAGACCAGCACATCCTGTCCTAGAACAGGCTTAACAAAAGAAGAGATACAAGAGAATCACGGAATGTTGGGGGTTGGAAGGGACCTCCAGAGCTCATCCAGTACCACCCTCTGCCAGAGCAGGGTCACCCAGGGCAGGTCCCACAGGAACGCGTCCAGGCGGGTTGGAAAGTCTCCAGAGCAGGAGACTCCACACCCTCTCTGGGCCGCCTGGGCCAGGGCTCCGGCACCCTCCCACCTGCAGCGCCTGGATCCTGCCCGTATGGTCAGAGGACATCCAAATCAGAAGCACTTTGACAGAGATCTGTTGGAGCGTGTTCAGAGGAGGCCTCGTAGGAGGCTACGAGGACAGGCTGCGGGAGCTGGGATTGTTCAGTCTGGAAAAGAGAAGACTTCGGGGGGACCTAAGAGCTGCCTTCCAGTACCTGAAGGGAACCTACAGGAAGGCTGGGGAGGGACTTTTTACAAGAGTGTCCACTGATAGGACAAGGGGAAATGGGTTTAAGTTGAAGGAGAATAGATTCAGATTGGACCTTAGGAAGAAATTCTTCAGTACAAGGGCGGCAAGACTTTGGAATAAATTGCCCAGAGAAGTTGTGGCTGCCCCCTCCCTGGAGGTGTTCAAGGCCAGGTTGGACGGAGCCTTGAGTAGCCTGATCTAGTTGAGAGGCGTCCCTGCCCATGACAGGGAGGCTGGATTAAAATGATCTCTAAGGTCCCTTCCAGCCTAGGCCATTCTAGGGTTCTGTGATTCTACGATTCATTACAATGAAATATTGAATAACACAGTATCCATCAGCATCTGCCGAGTCCTCTAAATAAGAACCCATCAATTAGCCAAATGTCTGAGTTTCTCCTTTACTCACTTTAGACTTCAAGTTATTTGAGGTGTCGTCTTAAACCCAGACATCCATCAGGATGAACCCAGTGTCGACTTCTCACAGTGCCTACAACAGCTAAAGCTACTTTCAACATTTTTAAGAAGCGCGTGAAAGTCCCAAAGGTGACAGTATTAAACACAAATCGTGAGGAAAAAAGTCCCAGAAAACTGTACAAGACACCTGAAGGAAAACACGCCGATGCCCCTATTGGTAAGCGGTACGTTGGTGGAGTTTGAGCCCAAACCTCACCCGAACGCTGTGATTCCTCACCAGCGTTGACATTTGCTTTTTGGGGAACAAAATAAATCCCGATGGCAAGAGCCAGGGTGCTTAATACCACGTAATTTGGTTGCCAGCTGGATCCTACCCCATCACAGCCATCATCTCGTACCCGGGTTCCAGCAACGCTGCCCGGCTTCAAATCCCACTCGCTGGAAACAAGGAAAAGCAAAAATCGCCTTCACCATCGCACCAGAAACCCACCACCGGTACGGATACTTGTCGTGCTCAGCCCTTGGGATGGCTCAGTCACCCTCCTGGTTAAAATAATTGACTTAATATAAAAATAGCAGATACAGTCTCCCGTTTAGTTTCTCTGCGCTGGGATTCTGAACGCCGGGAACGAAGCAGTGGGTGTAACGTGTCCCTGACACGGGGCCAGGAATCGCTTTGCTATTTCTGCCCAGTGCCAAGACTAGAGAGATTAGAAGTTAAACCCAAGTTTAGGATTTCCACTTGGAACAAAGCCCTGCTGATTATAACAGCCCAGATCGACATGATTTCACGGTAATATCTGGAACATGTAGTATTATTTGGGGAAAAAACCCACCCTCACATATTTGATGAAATGAAAATATTTCCAAATAGTGATGGTTTGGGTTTTTTCACATCCTCTTCTTCTCCATCTTGTTTTAAAAATAGCACAGCACCTCGACTAGGACCAGAAGCAAATTCCAAAAAAATTGAAACACTGCTGCTTTTCTCATGCAATCTTCAGAAAAAAAGAAGAAAAAAAGAACAAAGAGAAGAAAGAAAATGCGTAGCGCGACATGTTTTTTAAAAGTGTGTCTGGAAAACAATTTGATTCTGTTCCTACAATAAAGTTGAATGTTTTGGATGCAATCACTGCAAATTACGAAGCCCTGGCAGGCTGCTCCCTTCAAGCATATGGAAATTTTGTCTGTCAAACTCTGCTTTCTTCACTTACTGCCTGCTAATACATTTTCATAACCGCCACATCAGCCAATATGATTTCACTACAGACTGCGATCCAACACGATACAAACTGACTTTTTTCTTCCAGTCAAGGACTCAGGCATTTGGTAGAAATCCCAACCAGGCTGTCACAGGTCGTGGTTGTGAAAACCCAACCTGCCACCTTCCAGCTCCTGGATTTCATGACTGGAAGATGGTGGGCACTTGCTTAAAAAAAAACTCAGAGAAAGTTTAAGGTACCAGGGAGAACATACAAGTCTCACAGCACAGCTACAGCCAGAAAAAAATCCCAAATGAGCTTTGTCAACCTTTACTCATCTGTGCCGTGACAAAGGATGGGGATGAAACATTAACCCAGCGACTGGCTGTCACGGGGATGGCTTGAGGATGCAGCCAAAGATCACTCCATGCCATGTGCAGCATCTGGCACATCAGAAACCAGCCCCGAAAAGCAACCCAGAAGCGTTGCACCGATGGCACTTCACTGGTCGTGGAGCGGCACGGCACTGCCCACACCACTAAGGACATGGACCCTCATTACCAAGGATGCTGGAAATGAAGGAGACCAGTTTGCATCCTCATGGAGAGGTAGCACTCAAGAGAATCACAGAATGGTTGGAAGGGACCTCAAAACATCATCTAGTTCAACCCCCTGCCAGAGCAGGATCCCCCAGAGTAGTCACGCAGGAATGTGCCCAGGCAGGTTTCGGGAATCTCCAGCGAAGGAGACTCGACAACAAATTTGCTGTATTTTCAGGAGGATTTGGATGAAATGGCTGCAACCCACCCCAGGGAGCCCAAGAACCCTCCGAGCCCCCGCAGGCTCCTACCTCGCAGGTCCTGCTGCGCGCGGGCGCCGGCCACGCTCTGCCGCGGCATGCGGAGGGAGGTGCGCAGGGGAGTGTGCCTCTGCTCGTCCAGGTAAGCCAGGTCTTCGAGGTGGGCTGAGCTGGTGGCTGCCAGGAGAAAGCAAACGACAACATCACACCCGCCCTTCAGACCTAACACTCTGGGTACAGTATCTTCCCGTTTTTAAACAAAATACACCGAGTTGTAACTACACTGAGTCAACACGGCGAAGATGAACCAGGTCTAATTTCCCCTAGCAAGGAGGAAAGCGATTTGGTAATTTTTTCTCGTATTTGCTCTGGTTTGGTCTACTGTTGATATTCACAAAGAAAAGACGACACATGGAAAATGGAGACGCGGGGTCTCTTCTATCTGAACTAAGTTCTGCCAGCCACAAAACTCACTCAGCCGCGCGCGTGCAAAGCCTGAGAGACAGCTGACGTTTCCTACTACGTATGAGACAACTCAATAGTGCATTTAACACTGAAGCCCACAATCTCCCCTTCAATTATTTCAGAGCTACGTAGTTTGGGTACTAAGGTTTATCTGGTCATAAAGCCAGAACGTGTGGCAGAAAATTCAACTTCTGTTGACCAGCAAAAATACATGAAAAAAAATCACAAAAATGTTATCTGAATTGAAGAAGATAACTTTACTATTCCAGTGTTACTCGCTCATGGGAGAATTTAGTTTTTCTTCACAATGCTAGATTAAACAGGAATAATTTATTGGTCTCTGCTGAAGGTGCCATCACTATATGAATAAGTACGGCTGGAGCAGAAACCACAGCTGGAAACGTTATCTCTTTCTCTTGGAAACTGGCAGATAATATAGCACAAGGTATTTTTTTATTCCATTTTTTAGCTGAAGCACACGATGCTCCCAGCACGAGCTGAGCGCACGTCTCCAGACGACGGAGCCACTTCGCTTGATTTGACTGTCAGGCACCAAGATAAAACATTGACAGCCAGGATTGCCCTGCACTGGCTACCGTGTCTAGGATAAAGCTGAAAATTCACACCAGGAACAACCCTACTTGATCCTGGGAGAGTTCAGAAAGGAAGTACTCAGGCAAAGGAGACTCCCTTTTAAAAATAACTTAACAAAACAATAATCAAAGTCTGAATGCTTTTCCCTTACATTTATAAATGACCCTGCAGTAGTCTTTGAAAAAAAATGAAAGCAAAATCCCTCATATTGGACTTGCTGCTAAATAACACAGCTGTATACACATGGGAGTGTGTTTGCACCTCTCTCTCACTCTTACGTGTATCTATCAGCTGCTGAAGGACGACATTTCTGCCCTCAAACTTCACATTCAGTCCTGCTCCAGTCTCATTTTAATTCTATCAAGCACACACGGAGCCATCAAGGATGACCAGGAACATTAATCTTGCTGGTAAGTTAATTTCTTTATACAGGGCCATTCAACACAGCAACAAACGGATAAAAGCTCACTGTCTAACAACAGTTAAAACCAAAAAATTATTTCCTCGCCAACTACTCATCAACAAAAAACTAAGGCACAAAGATCTGCCTGTTCCGACGGCGGTTCAGTGGCACTAAGCGCTGCACCATGCAGGTTCTGAAGCAACAACCACCAAATATTTTTTTTTGAGTATCTACAATACATGTGCAGCCTCTCCTGGAAGAAAAATTGTTTCATTCCCGCAAAGAACGGCAACGCTGCCGGCGTTTTTTTATTTTTCTTTTATTTAGAGTCTGCATTTCAAGTTCCATCCGCGAAAAGAGAAGCCAGCTGCAAGCCCAGATGTTTTGCAGGGCTAGACTTTGTCTGTTGCCAGAGAAGAAATCCTGGCCAGGGCCAGTATTTATTGTTGGTCCTCTGAGAAGTGAGGAGTTATTCCTCAGCAGCCCAAAGCCTTCATCATCATCATCTTCTCCAGTCGCAACTGGGGACAATCGTACATGATGAAGCGCCACCAGCGGGAGCTGCCAAGGCCACTTCCCGTTTTGCCACGGGTTAGTTTTGCAACGGTCAGTACAGCCATCCTGCCATTTCTCAGGCTGATGAACTGTGATTTTCTCATTTATTGCTGAGGAATAATTAAAAAGATCAAAGGCCAGAGGAACTCGACGTAATTTTTTTTCCTGAGAATATGCTTCAGTACTTCAAAACTTATACAAGATCAATTTATCTTAGAAAATACAATATGAACCAGTTGAAAGCTTCCCTCCAATTCTGAACCTTATCCGATGTAATAAGGGGCAGCGACCGCAGATAAAACACGAGGGAGAAAGGAAGGACCTCCTCAAAAATAGTATTTGCGTACCGCAGATGCAATTCTCCCAAGGAAATGGCAAATACTGGAAGGAAATTCAGTTTCAAGAGACTATCTGACCAATAAATACAAACCAACCTGCTTTGGATTTGGGCTTTGGCAGCCCAGGTGGACTTTGCAGACTGGGGCTTCTGGGGAAAATGAGGAAATTGGGTGGAGGTGTCACTGCTCTCATCAGAATCAACAGCTTCAGCTTGCCATGGCCAAGGCATGGCTCAAACCGCGTCATGACAAGGTGTTCTCCACCTGCCTCAAATTCAGATCGTATTAATAAATACAATCTGTATTAATAAATACGCTTCAGATTTAACGACTTCATTTCTGGCTGGAATCCAGCCCGAGTTATCAAGAAATGGTCAAATATGATGAGGATAAAGCCAAGTTTTTTGGGTTTATCTGAAGCACCTTTGCCTTTCTCCTTGGAATAAATTCGTAGGCATCTAACCCAGAGCTCCAACACCGTTGCTTGACCTCGTACTTTTCTGACCATACCAGCTTTTCTGAACCAAACCCTGCCCTCACCTCCGACAACACTTTTCTAACGGATAAAGAATTTCCAGTTAATAACGAATAATATATTTGCTGCTATTTTATATTCTCCAAGAGGAGAAAGAGAGGAGCTGGTGTTATATAAGAGCATTTTAATTCTCTAGTAACATTTAAACAGACTTTATAAACCATGCAGGCAGTCTAAATAACATCAGATTTCATGCTTCGTTTCCCAGGTAGTGAAAACAAAATGAGATCTTTGTCGTGCACAGGAAACGCAAATTTTCCCAAGAAATTTGTGTTGGTTCCAAAATCCAGGTGCCCAACTCTAAGGCCAAGCATCTTCTGATGGTAAATATGAAAAACGCTTCAGCACCTAAAATAAATTTTGTGTTCACTTGCCTGGGATGGGGTAGGAAGGAAAAAATGCAGCTGAAGCTTTCCCTCCTTTCTGGGAACAATAAAACAGCAAAGCAAATGGGGCTGAACTGTAAAACTGAGTTTTAAAGAATTATTGGGAGACTTGGGATTATTTTTATAGCTTTTTTTTGTCTTGGATCATAACCTCTCACAACCGCAGCCCCTCTCTCGTTTCGGAGCAGACACCTTCTCTCCTGACAGGTAAAAAGAAGCAGTTCTGCACCACACTTCCTTTTTTTATTTTTTTTTAACTTTTGGTGTTTTGGAAAGAATTTTGCTAGTGACTCCTGAAACCGTCACCCAAACCACTGGAGAACAGGTAAACGCAACAAAAAATTGAGTCATAGTTGTTTCACGGTACTTTGCTGTTCCTACCAGTACCGTAAGCGTGGAGGATTTTCCTTTATTTTTTTAAAGCTTTGAGATTTGGGGTTTCAGCGAGAACTGGTGATTACTGGGTTATGTTTTCTGAACGTCACACAGCGAGACAAATTGCCCTGAAGGCTGGGAGAATGAAGCACCGTGTTCAGGAGAGGTAACACACACCTCCCAGCGCTCCCGACCGCCACTACATAGGAAGGAAATTTCCTTAATTAGAGCCGAGAAAATTTTTAATTTGCCTTTTTTGTGAGTTTCAACCCCCCGCACGCATTAAGTTAATGCGGTGTAATATAGCACTGGCTAAACAAAAGGAAAAAAAGGATTTAAGCTATAACGTGAACAGAAAATGTCATCAAATGGTTTAAAATACTACTTTAAAATCTTGAAATGCTAATAGGACTTTTTCTGACCTGTAACTAATGCTGGTTCTAATCTGATAATACTTTATATAGCCAGGGATGTGGTTCACCAAAACAGAGAGAATTTTCAAGTTAAGACTATCAGGACTAAAGTTGATTTTTACATGGATTTCCCCAATAACATAATCCTCACGTAAATGAAGCTGTCTCAGACCACCGAAGTCCGTACCGCTACAAGAATTTACTTCAATTTAGAGCCTCCAGAAGGGTTTAACAAGAGCATTTTAACCCCAAGGAAATGGAGCTGTGCTCAAGCAGCAAAGCTGGAGGTACCAGGACCTGTCAACGGCAGCGAGTGCTGGAACTTCCCACCAGCAAAATGTTGTTTTTCCCCCTATTTTCACATCCAACAGTTACGCTAAAGCTTTTCCGAAAATACATCCACGTAACTTTGCTAATATTAGAGGCTACTAAATGCACAACATTAAAAAAATCTTTGTTAAATAAAGGTGAATCTTCTCCAACTCCCAGAGGCTGTGAGACACCCACGTCCCTTGCATCTACCTGCAGCGGGACACGTCCCAGTTGCCAAGACAAAGGCGATACAAGCGCTTCATTCCAGGTAGTTTTACGCAATTTAGCTGATGAAAATCTAAATTTCTCAGGCTGTGCCACGGCAACAAGTGCTCCCTCCAAAGATAATGTCGAGGGGACCACGTCTCTTCTGGATTTGATAGGGACTTTGTAAGTAAAATGGTAGAAACAGTGTAACCTAGAAAACAGCAAAAAATCTTGAGAATGTAAAAAAAGTTGGAATTCCAGAGACGTTTAACTAAAAAAAAAATGCCGGAAGAATATTTCGCTCCACCAACCTGTGAGAAAATAAAAGCTAACTCGATAAGAAGATCTTCAAAAGATTCCTCGCAGAGATCAAAAATACCTGTTCTGCATCAAAAGTCAAAAAAGACAATAGGGAGCCCCGCTGGGCTCCCCTCTGCTTTTAGAGAGACAAGTCTGCAAACGGTGCACGAAACCCATTTCAGGAGCTAAATCCCATTTTTAGCTTTGAAAAACCTTGAAATTTGAAGGAGGCACAGGCTCCGTGCCTGAGCTGCCCTGCTGGCTTTAAAGCAGGGCTGGCTCTGAAGCGCGGTGGCACTAAATTAGTTATATTTAAATTAAATATAATTGAGAGCTCTTAATGTGGGATATTAAGAGAAAAAAATCAGCAGCTGTGGTCCCTGAATTTCCTGTTTCTTTTTCCCTCAGCATGATATTAGTGCGTAGAGCTCATGTGAACATTTTGCTTATTTTTCTTCCAATTTATAAGTAGCTGTGAGTGAAGGGACGCACCACACAGCAGTGATGGCAGGTTGTGAGCCTGTTATGAAAAAGAACAGTGTTGTGCCATTTTAGAAGATACTCAAGGGTAACCTTAAAGAAAAAAAAGTAAAAAAAAAAAAAAAGGAAAAAGGGAAGGGGAAGGAAGCCATAAGGTCTAAGTGCTGCTACGCTTTGGTTCTCGAGACTGTTTGTACATAAATTCAATGCATCTGGTGGGCAAAAAAAAGACAATAGAAAGAAAAGGAAAAAAAAGACAAAAAAAAGAAAAAAAGAAGAAAAAAGAAGAAAAAAAGGCAAAAGGCCAAACTATTTTGTTTATCAAGGCTTCATGATTAGCTTAAAATATGGAATACCGCTAGAAGGGAGGCAGCTTTCTACTCCAGTCCCAGACTCCCCATTATTGAACTCAAAATCAATATAGACAATTTTCAGTCGGCTTCGTCTACTCATCTGGTTCATCTGATGGCTGCCTGTCCCGGTCTGAGCTAAACCAGAGCCAGCCCTGCCCAGCTGATCCTGCGCAAGGGACGTGGAGCTGAGCGACAGCCCAGGATTAACCCTTGGGGCAATGGCACATTCTGCAGATGGGCTTAAGTCAACCATGAAACTACATCTGGTTCTCCTCTCCCATCATTGAAGTACACAGATAATGAGGTTAACCAGTTAGGGGGGGGAAAAATAAATATATAAATCTATTACCTAGAAAACATGATTTCCTGGTGCCATAAACTTATGGGAGATAATGTGTGATCATTCGATGAGAAAAGGACCATGGTTACAGCCGCACCGATTTCTTCTGGGACACGAGCAGTGTGAGCTGACACTTAAAAGCAGCAAAAAAAAATCCACCCAAAACCATCCTGAGGGAAAAGGTATTCCCAGACCTTGCCGGATGGTTTTCTCTTCAAACAGTCTTTACCTCTAAGCGCATCAAGCAAGACGACAACCTCCAAAGTCAATAAAACCAACACACATGTGCATTTTCATTTACAGTGCCTGGCCCATCCTGTTCGCTTTTGAAGGTGGTTTATGGGGCGTCATTCGTAAGAAATGAACCTCAAGTAACAAGGCTAGGCAAGTGGAATTTCCCACTTTTTTCCCTGTCCCCTCTCTCCACCCTGAAATCCTCAGCTTTTAGTCTTTCAGACCATGCACGGCGGTGAAGCTCCGTGCTTTGGGTGCCTGTATTTTAGCATCTATAAAAAACTCATTTCTACATCGCTTTGCGGCTTGTGACTATCCAAAGTGGGATTAAAAAGGAAACCTAATCTAGTTATGCAACACAGCCTGGGCTGCCAAGAGATGCTGTTTTAACAGACAATACCCCGGGCTCAGCTCGTGGTAGATCCCTGCAGGGACTCTGCACCAACACCACATTTCTAGACACACAGACCACCTCAACAGAATGTTGAACCCCAGAGAAGTTACCCAGCAAGAAGGAAAAAGAATAAATGGGGTGGCAAAGCAAAGGAGAATAACTCTAGGCAAGCAGCTTTTCAGTAAAGCTTTAATATTTTTAATCCTGTCTCTTGTTTCTGTCCCGCTGTTACCAACTTCAGGGGGAGACTGACCCGGCTGTTACAAGACATCAATATGTCACAGCGTCACTTAGGAATCTTTTCAAACCGCAGACGTGAAATTAAACGAAGAAAAATGTTGGTGTTATGCCAAAACAAGAAAAAAATAAATAAATCAGTCATTGGGAAATCTCAGATGCTGTGAAAGCCAAACCAGCGCGTGCACACGTGTGTGCTGAGATGTCCAGAGCAAAGTCCACCAAGAGAGACAGGATCCAGAAATTCTCTTAACTCAAGTTCTTAAGATCTTCAGATAAGATCAAACACTTGATTTTACTTGCCATGAATCCTTTAAAATAGCAGCAATGGCTACGATGTCTTGGAATTCTGTGGTACTTTAAACCCAAGATTATTTGCACTGTCATGACAGCAAAGAATCCTTTTTTAAAACCATTTTTAATCATATTCTCCGTTAATCTTGCAGTTGTACTATTTGGTAAAAAAGGGACCACAGACTGATGAAACAACCATTAAGCATCATCAGAACCAGCTTTCCCCACAGGAATTTTCCACTTAGAAACAATGAGTCAAATGAAAAGATAATTTTTGTCACGCTTAATGATGACGACTGCAGAAAGGCGATTTCGGATAACAGGAACGTGAAAAGGCAGCGACATGCAGGCACTGGGTCTCGCTTTGACCTAAAGCCAAAAAACCCCACATTTTTTCCTTACCTGCTACTGAATTTGGCCGTGGCATAAGGTAAAGAGGAATAGACTGCACCGACTGGGACAGGACTGTCTCCAGGTTCCTCTCGGGGATTTTGTTGAGGCTGTAGGTGGAAGCCGTCATGTTCTCGTCCACGCGGTACAAGCACGAGTCCATGCTGGATTTCTGGGACTGCCAAGGTTTCAGGTTTCCTCCAGATCCAAGCTCTTTACTGCTTTCCCCTCCGTATTTCGTGCGTTCCACATTTTCCGAGTAGCTTGTCAAAGTAGCTTGAAGGAAGAAATTATAAACAAAATGAGTAACAAAGGAAGGATGGCTCGCACACACGCTGCTCCACGCCGGGTTGTGCAACGTGAGAGCCAAAACTGATGTTCATCATATTTTCCACATTCACATAAGTCAGAGATTATGGAATTTAGTTTAATGATACTGCTTCTGCTTACTACTTCTCAAAGAACATTTAGGCTATAATGTTCTGGCTCACACTGTTAAAAGCCATTCGTAATTACAAACAGTATTAAAAATTATGCGCGGCATTGTGTTCGAATGCACAATTCCAGAAAGAGCAAGAAACTATTAAGGAAAAAGCATTATCAGCGCCGGTCATAGCTTCTAATTTGCATTGCAGTTACCACCTTTCCGGGGAACATTTGCAGAAGTTTCTACCCCTTGCAATGTCTGACACCAAAAAGCCGTAGGCACAGAAAGCCCCCACCCGAGTCGCAGGAAGAACCCGCTCTCACAGATTAGAAACCGAACCCGGTATTTCATGTGATTGACAGCAGGCTTTAGTGAGGCTTGAACTGTAATCCATGCCTTTTCCCTTATATTATTTCATTTTGCTGTTGCTACGTTGACTTTCACGCTGGGAAATGACCCGACCCACGCCACTGACACCTCCTCGCGCTGGTGTTTTCTCCCTTGGATTCCGAGGCAGATCTCTCCTGGTAGAAACCCACTTTGGGCTCCTGACTTTGTCTCTAGTCTCCCACACACTCGTTCAAGGTCAGAATTGGGCGCCTCAGTCATCGAGAAGGTCCCAGCACCCACAGCAGCTTATCCGAGTGTGTCGAGCTCGCCTGCTCCCCAAACGGCAGTGGGGAAAGACGGAAGAAAAAGCAATCCCAGCCCAGACCTCTCATCGCCCCAACCACAGACATCTCCACTGCTATTCAAAACCCTGAAATTCAACTCAACCCTGAATATCTGGAAGCCCCGGACATGCGCTGTGCTGTAGACGTATTTGCTAAACCCACGGAAATCCATCGTTCTAACTTAGCTGCGGTAAATGCCTTTCCCAGCCCAAATTCTCCGTTCGTTCCTGTGCCACCCGCTCCTGGGCACACCGGTGGATCTGCTTCGCGTCCTCAACACAGCTCCCTCCATAAGGTCTCCTGGGGCAACCTTCTCGTCTGCACAAAAGCCCATTCCGGAGCCGAGGGAGATTCTGGAGCCGAGGGAGATGCCACCTCGTTATCAAAGGGCATCACATTAATTTTTATAGTGATCAATACAAACAGTAAATTCTTCCCGAGATTCACATGCTTGTAGGCTAAAGCCTTTCTTTCTGTGGCAGTTTGCAGTTTAACTGCAAACAGGTAAAGGTTATTTTGTTTGGTTTTCTAAGTGCATCCAGAAGCAGAGAACGACATCTCCTTTCACCACCCAGCATTAGGCATTCGATTTAAATTCTCAGAAATACTCACGGAGATCTGACAAAATACCAAACTGATGATCCTCTCCTTTCTGCTGGACTCAAGCCCCAGTGCAAAACCATGAACTTCAACAACCAAGGACTAATCTGGCTTAATTATACATTAGCATAGGGATCAGAATTATTGCTTACATCTAAAGTCACCAAAACTCCATAAAAAACCCAACACACAACAACACAAGACCTGTAATTTTTATCCATCCCTGTTCTTCATCCATCCCAACAAACTCCATGCAGCTTCAATCTTCACCCCTACAGATTTACTTCTTGTTTATTTTTTAATTTAGTCTTCTTTATTTATTTCTTCTCTATTTCTTCTTTACTTATTTATTGGGTTTCTTGCCTACGCAACAGGATCAATACCTTTATACTTCATCAAGAGTTCCAAAATTTAATTGTTTGGAACATACACTGAAAGTTAAAACCAACACGTGCAACCACTAAGAACCGGTATTTGTTTGTTGGCATTGAAACATAGGTTTGCTGTCAGGTAAACACGTTTACACTTCAGCATAGGAAAATAAGATAAAAACAAGAAACAGATGTTCACAGAATTTTCCTGCTCCCTCAAACTGTTTAATATTGAGAAATATGTTTGAAATGCTTTTCTAGAAAATTTCCATTTTTAAGTCTGGCTCTGCAGTGCCAGGCATACCATGATGTGTATTTACAGAAGAAAAAATAATCCACTGATCCATTAAAATCCATTAATTTTAAAAACCTGTCTCAGTACATGTCTAATTAATGTTTGTAGAAACACATCAGCAGCTGAAATCAGTCATCTTCCAATACATCAAACCGAGGAAAACCAAAATAACTATGTGTCAAAATAAATTCCTCTAAATGAAGCAACAACAGCAAAAAAAAAGACCTAATAAATCCTGCTGGCCCCTTTTCTAATCGACAATTTGTGTTCATTTTAAACAACATTTTCACTGGTTTACACTAAAGCTGTTTTATGTGCAAACTCTTCATTGAATCAGGTATTTAGGATTGTTCCCTGTGGATTAATTTACCTTCTGAACAGCCCTGGATGATATAAGTACTGCTTCACAGGCTGGAAGCGATTGCTCTACAGACTTAATCTCTTCTACGAGCTATTTTAAACCAATTTCGACTTTATTTAAAAGACAAATTGTAAGGTTAGTTACGAGCCAGCGACAGGAGCCAACCCGCAGAGCACGCCTCCTGAAGTGACCGAGGGCATGACCCGGAGAGATGCTCAGAAATTACAACCTCACCATTCAAACTGGAGAAAGAAACATCTAATTCCAGGAAATTCATGTTATCTGAAATAACTGGAGGTAAACAATCGGTAATGCAAAGCCGGTAAACACTGAGAAAGTGCAAAGATTTGGTCAGGCAGCTGGATTAGACGATCCTCTCCCACTGAAAACATTCTTTTCTATTGTATTTCCTGGACAGAAAGAATTTCATCTCAGTCCCCTAAAGGATCAAGCCCACGAACATCCTCAGCCAGGAGGAGATGTGCAAACCAACAGTATTTCTGCAAGTTAGCCATACTCACACCCTACCCCCTCCAGAGCTGCAGAGGGTATCCGAGGGCAGGGTGGGTGAGAACACCTCCCCGGCGCCTCCCGCGCAGGATTAACTCCGCGTCACAGCAATAATCTCGTTAGAGGGTTGCACGGGGAACCAAGTGCCACCCTCGGCATGAATCCTACTCGCAGTTGGAACAGGCTTCTCGTTAATGCACCCAAACCATACTCACACGTTAAAAATACTCTGGACCTTAATCCAGATGCAGAGGAGCTGACTGAAACAGGGAAGAGCAGCTACAAGTGTCAGGAGGTTGTCGCTGTCTGCACGTCTGTCTGTACCAGGAATACAGCAGGAGAGCACCAGAATATCCGATTATGCCAAAAACTGACTCTCAGATTAATTCAGATTTCTTCAGATGTTACGACATTGGTTAGGTTGAACATCTCCACCACAAAACAAGTATTTTGTGCCCATCCTCACAGATCCCTTTGCTCTGGAATTCCCAACTATGTCTCCGGCCAACCCAGCTGACGGCCGGTGGGAAGGAGGTCCCAGCGAGGAGAGTCCCCACAGACCCCAGTTACACACCGTGTTGGTTAAATAGTGCTAAAAGGGGCTGCAGGAGCACTCATGGACTCAGCTCAACCTACCGGTGAGAAACTGGTGTTGGAGGTTTTTGCCACCAGTAACATCTCATGAGACACACGTGGGGGCTGCAGGATGAGTGGGGGGCACAGCTCCTGTCCCCGAGGGGCTCAGGCATCCTGAAGGTGTTGGAACTAGATGATATTTAAGGTCCCTTCCAACCCAACCCATTCTATGGGTTTTATACCCAGGATATCGAACCGGCCAAAAGCTCAACAAAATGCAACTGCTGAACAGACAGCGTGGCTCTAAATTTGGGAAAGATAAACCGATGACCTCAAATCCGTCAAAGAGCAGGAATTTTTGCCTTAAGCCATCTGCTGAGAGGAAGACCTTTCAACCCCGAGTCTCCCCAGGACGACAGCCAGTGCATCACGTTATGTGACAGGACACGTTAAGCTGGGGGTGTCAGGCTGGGAGCGCCCAGGACGCAAGAAGGGCTGCAGAGATGTCCCGAGAGAAACTCGCATTTATGTGAGGCTCTTCTCCCTGCTGAATCCAGCCAGAAAGCACAACCCTGATGAAAAAAAAGCAAAATATTGCAGAGTCTGGGTCCCTGCTAGCCCAGGGCTGAGATCACACAGACCAGGGCACGTGCCAGCGGCTGTCAGGAGCAGAAGGGACGTCGCTGCCCGTGGAGGCACGCCAAGGATCACTGCCGGGGACAGAGGAAAACGGGGGCGGCCGCGTGAGTCCCACACCCAACGTGTGAAACCTGACAGCCGCGCGGAAACATCTGAGGGTCTCCGTAGTGCTGAAGTAATACTACAGGCATATAAATATACATGTGTGCGTATAATTATATATTTTTATATATATCTCCCCAGTCTCAGCTGGCACACAGTCCCCTACTATTTAATATGAACACAGACAGAATGGCAGGCATCTAAAACTGTAAAGCACATCAATAAATGCGGGAAACCCCCTGGAACGAGAGGACGGGGGCAGTGCCGCGCTCCTTTGCAGTCCCCAACGCGGCTTTCCCCGAGGACTTGCCGTATCTCTTTCCGCAAGGTTTCAACTCCACCCTCTGCAAGCACTACCCGCATGGGCTCTGGGCAGCGCAGCCCCGCTGTCTTCGAAGACACCCGGACGTGGACGGCAGAAGGGGACACGCTCCAGATGCTGGAGTCATTTTACACCTCTACCTTGCTTTTAGTATTCAAGATTTACGGCTGCACTCTCGTTGGAAGAGGACTATGCCTATGTCAAGCTTTCATTTTCAAGCTTGGCGCGTTTTTCCGCGGTGAAACATTTTGATGAGAGCTTTCTGCAGCTACCGTGGTTTAACGTATTTTTATTTCTTTGGGTAAAAAACAGAACTCCACCAAAGCGGCGGGTCATCCGATAGAGCACCACAGATGTCACTGCGGCCAGCACCGCGCTTCTCAGAGTTTGCGGGACGGC